GCGTGGTTAGCAGGTGAGAAGCAGGTGGGGGGGTGGGGGGAGCCTCACGGAGTGGGAGGAGTGGGAGGAGTGGGAGGAGGGGCTAGTTCGCCCTGGGCATGCGCGCTCCGTCTTAGGTCACCCCGGCTAAAATAAGAGGTGTTTTTAAAGCTCGCCCAAGTCTGGAGATTTTCAGCGTGGCTCATCAAGGCCCGCCTGCAAACGTGTGATGTGTAAAGGGGGTGCCAAGGCAGCAGGAGGGGAGCAAGAGCAGAATCTTCGCCGGCTCTGCCCCCGACGTCTAAGTTGAGAGCTGACAACTGAGAAGGTGCCAGCGGTGTGAACGGCAGAGGAGTCGGGGTTCCTGGCTGATGGCACTGCTGGTTGCAAGGCCCAAGGGGGGAGCTAACTGGGTGAGAGCGTGGTGGGGCAGGGTCTGTGGTGGGGAGCAGAGAGGGAACAGGTTGGGGAAGCAGACATGGGCTAGAGCCTGGAAGGTCTTGTAAGCCAGGTTTGGGGTTTTATTCCAAGTGGGAGAAAAGCAGGCCTTTAGAAGGTGTTAGGCGGGGAATGGACATGATCTGCTCTGTATTTTATTTTAAATTTTTTTTATGTTTATATTTGAGAGAGAGAGAGAGAGAGAGACAGTGTGTGAGCAGGGGAGGGGCAGAGAGAAACAAAGAATCTGAAGCAGGCTCCAGGCTCCCACCTGTCAGCACAGAGCCCAACGTGGGTCTCGAACTCACAAGCAGTGAGTTCATGACCTGAGCTGAAGTCGGTTGCTTAACCGACTGAACCATCCAGGCGCCCCTGATCTGCTTTGTATTTTAGTATATGTGCTGCCGAAGCGAGCACAGATCTGCTTTGAAGCACGCTGCCCTGTGCTGTATGAGCGTGGATAGATCTAGAAGGGAGACAATGAAGAGCCACTCCTATAGTCCAGGCACAAGAGAGTGGTCCGGGATGGGTGTGGAAAGGTACAAGGGTGCACAGCGTTTTGGGGGCGGAGTTGACAGGACTTGCCCTTGGCCTGAAGGTGGAAAGAAGGAGGAAACAAGATCAAGGACATACATACCTTCGTGACAGGGCCTGACCACGGGGCGGATGGGGATGCCCTTCACCGATGCGGGGAAGTGTGTTTGCTGGAGGCAAGGCCGGGCTCTGTCTGGACCAGGTTGTCAGTCGTCCAGTGGAGTTCTGGACACAGGTCATGGCCAGAGGGATGGATTTAAGCGGCTGGGCGTAGAGATATTTGAAACCATGGCGCCGGACCAACAGGGAACACAGACAAAGAGCCAGAAGGGTCTGGGGCCGTGCCAACATTTAAAGATTGAGCAGAGGAGGAAGAAAGAGCAGTGAAGCTGTGGGGCCATTTTCTGTGCCAAAGAAATACATTATACTTGGAACCTTGGATATGTCCGCCTCTGTCGCGTTTGTACTGCGTGAAAGAAGTCTTTCACGCTGCTTCTCCATTGTGAAGAGGGTGTCTTCCCCTCAGCCGCCATTTGTGGTACACCCCCCTCCGGGGCAGCAAGTCTTTAGCTAGGTCTCAGGTCTCAGACCAAGAGATCTTGCAGCAGAGACGGAGGGGCTGGTAGAGAAGCGTAAAGGGAGGGGCCTCGCGGGTTGCGATCACTGGCTTGGTTCTTCCAGCTGGAGCAAATCCCCGGGATCTGCCTGTGAGTGTGACCGTCCCTTCCCTCGGCACGCTCAGGTCATCTGTAAAGCGGCCGGGGTGGGGGTGGGGATGGATGTGTTTCTTACACACCTTCTAGCCCTCTGCTATGTAATTTTATCTTTCTTTTTTCTGGAAACAGAGGTACTCACCCAGGAGACGCTCACCTGAAAACCATGGTTTTCTATGCAAGATCCTTGTGTCTGGAGACACCAGGGAGGGCGCACACACAAACACTAAGACTGATATTTGTCGTAAGAGTCACACTTGAGGAGACCCTGCGCTGCCATCATTTTCCTACCACTCTTCCGTGTAGCTTTTGTAACCCATTTCGTGGACTAGGAGGCTAGAGAGATCAAGGACTTCAAAGCCCCAGACTTGGTCTTTTGCCTCCAGACCCGGGCTGCCTAAGTTTCCTCCCAGAGGCATTTTGCCTAGAAACTTTTCAATATTGACATAAAAACCTTTTTAAGGGATTTGGAAAAAGCGGCACTTAACAAAAATATGCCCGTGTGACAGAGACCCTTACTGACCCAGGAAGATCTCTGGTCCCCGAATCCATCACAAGAGTCTCTAACCACGGGCTGGAATTTGCTCATGGGAGTCTGAGCTGAAACCGGGGAACCGGGCCACAGTCACGGACCCTCCGTCTGGGAGGTGTGCCTGGATTCCCAGAGCGCGGGGACCCAGACACCCACACCCTCCCCAGCCAGCCCCTCCTGCTGCCTGCAAACGCATGGCTTTTAGGGCCAGAAAAGCAGCTCCTCTTCATGAGGAGTGGAGGGCAGAGAGCTGGTGGCGTGGCTGGAATTCCCCGTGCTCCAAGATAAGACCTGAGGGACTGGCAGTACTGCCTCACCAAGCGCTTTTCAAGTGTGTATGGCCCGCCCTCTGCCTAGCGGTCCTGGCGGCTCATCCCCCAGGGCATCCTTGGCCGAGACCCGGCTGGGGAAGGTGCAGTTCCCACACAGTCCACAGGGAGGCGCCCTGGTCACACAACGCTGCTCTGGGGTCCGAGAGGAGCTTTCCAAGTCAGGAGCGGGACGCCCAGCTTTTCCCAGTTCCTAATAGCCTCCTTCTCTGCTAAAAGGTGGGCGTGGTGGTGACGTTCCTCGTGCTTCTCGTTTTCTCCTACAACGTCGTCTTCCTGTTCGTGGGGACAGCCAGCCTGGGCCTGTTCCTCAGTAGCACCTTCCCCAGCATGCTGGCCTACACTGAGGACATTCTGCAGTACAAAGGTGGGTGTGCTGGGGCGCAGAGCAAAGAGCGCCCCCCCCTTGGCTGGGTGCGGCTTCCTCCCCCGACGCCCCATCTTTTCTGTGGTGTTCCAGCCAGGTCCCCGCCCTCCTGACTCGGGTGGGAACTTGTTCGCAAGGTTCTGACGCACGTGGAGTTCCCCGTTCAACAGTATGCCCGTGTCATGTGATTTCAGGCCACTGAGAAGCCTTAAGCTTCTCTTTCCCGTTTTCTTTTCTCCCACGGCAGTGCCTCCTGAGGCACAGCTGGCATTTTGTGAAACACGGGTGTGCTGGAAATCCCAAGTTCAGAGACCAGCAAAGTTGCGCAGGAAAAGTTAGGGCATAGGAAGGGGGTTTATAACTTATCAGTAATAGTACCTCCTTGCTCTGCTGTTCTTGCCGCTGTTTTTGGAAGCACGGAGAATTAGAACAGCGGCTCCACACTTGATCGGGGGTTGTCCTGATGGGGTTCTTGGATGCCGGAAACCTCAAATTCTCTGCAGTAATCTCCCTCCCCTGCTGTAGCCTCCCCACCGCGTGTAGCAATGAGCAATGATCCTTTTTTTTTTCTTTAAATGGGTTAATTAAAAATAATTATGTTTTGAACATTTAACGTTACCCTTAGAAGTAGCTAGAGTGCCCTGGGGTGTCGGAAAACCAACATTGAGGAGGAGTGATTTCTTTAGGGAGGAGTGAGGAAATGGTGTATGGGGG